GTTATATCGTAAAGACATAAATGAACTTCCGTTTAGATGGCAGCAATGTATAGATAATGAGGATAAATATTTTGATTAATAAATATGTTACATCTTAGAAAAAAACGAGTTTCAATTTATCAGTACAAATCGGCAATTTCATACTTTATCCCCTAATATATCTTGGTTTTATATCCTCCTTTCTAAGGAGAGGCTTATGTCCAGCAGTGGCCTATTAAAGGCTGTTGATGATGATGATGATATCTTGGTTTGAAAGCTTTTATTATACAAAAAATACATACAATCGTATGTTTTCAGCTCTAAAAATATTTGCCCGAACCTTATTTTAGAACTAAGTTATCCTGTTTTCAGATTTTGAGTGGGCAGTACTTGGCTCTATCTGTATCTATACAGATAGAATTACTTGAACTTTTTTTTTGCAATGTCGGACTCGAACCGACCAAAAGTAAAGTTGCGGCCGGTATTAGTCCGAACAATTCCTCGGAACACTCTATGAAATATACGATAGAGAATGCAGAGCGAAGCTACATCTTTACGTAACGCCAAGGGATCGAGCTGGTCCCAGATCTTTTGGCTATCGACGCTTCGAGTTGCTCTTCTTTAGATACGACCCTGGAGAAGCTGGTATTGAAGTGCCCCTGCATATAGATGAGAACAGTATTCCATATGCGGCTTGTGCCTTATAGAGCAATTGACTGATTCATCAACGCAGAGCCCAAACTGCTTGGACTACAAACTTGTCATTATTGCAGCTAATGCTTTTTATGTTCCAAAGGGTGTTTTTGAATTAGAAGAATTAATTTTTGGAAATTTTATATTTCTCCAGGATCCTGCTACGGAAAGTCTATACAACAAGTAGACAAGACTGTGCCCTATCGTTCTTTACTACTAAGTTAGCAAAAGCTAGTAAGAATATATTGAAAGTTGGATTAAGAAAAGCTTTTATTTATTATTAAGTTATTATTATTAAGTTTAAGAAAATCTTTTGTAACATGTCGAAAGTATTTTGAAGTTAAACACGTGCCTGTTAAGGAAATATTGATTTAGGTAATTCCGATAAGAATTAATTGGTGTTTTTGACTTCTTGTTTGTCACATTTAAGTATCAGTTTAGTAGGTTTATCTTACTAATAAAGTTTACGAGTATATTTTCAATAAATTTAATTGCTGTTATTTTAGACTTGTTTATCTTGGTAACTGCTAATTAACAGGATCATAATATATGAAACAGTGCCCCGCCGTTTTAAACGGATAGCTTTTATAGTTACTGCTGTACTGCTAAAGGTCTTAGCAAATGGTAAGAAAATACCTGCCCTTACAGAAGGAAGCAATATTTAAAACTTGAAGGTTGTAATTTTTAAGGAAAGTAAGGAGGATACCGAAGGATATCTGTGTGAATCGGCGTCCAGACCAGATATATTACTTTATGCAATGTCAATTTAGCGTGTGGTACAAGTAGAACTCACGGTTCTGTGGGAAACCAACATCCCTAAAGAACACGCTGTAAAAAGAAACAAGTACTTTGACTTAACCAACGAAATAACTAGAAAATTTTATTTCGTAGCGTTGTATGCCGTAGAAGTAATGCGAGGGGTATACCAGCTAATCCCTCTATAGCCTACTTAAAGACCTTGAATTGGGAAGAGCTTCAATAAGCTCTTTTCTTGAACAAATATCCAAATCCGGATCACTGTGTCGCTTAATTTCTTACAGGTCGTAGTAACTTTAAGAGCAAACTGTATTCATTTAAATTAGTCGAGTCACAATTGTGTCAATGCTCAACACCTAACCCTACTGTGAAGAGGCTGCTCATCATATCCTATAAGAATGTAGTCTTTGGTATAATGAACGTAAAATTACCTATTTACAGTCTATTTGTCCATCCAAAGGTTGTCTGTAAGATATTGCTTTTTAGCGATAAGGCCGCCATTTGTACATGGTCATTAACTTGGAATACTATTGTTTGTATAAATCCTGAATTGGTGAACAATTTTTTTTTGTTGTTTCTGCTTCATGGCAATCTGTTTTCCAACAATAAGCCACTTCTTTGTTTGATTTCTCAGTTTATGTTTTCTTCAAGAGCCATGATTGTATGAAAAATTTTTTTTTACCACACGACTCTCTTGATGTCAACTGTTGAATCTTTTGTGTAGGCTCGGTATGTCACTTCTTTTTAGTCGGGTATGCTGAAGAGCGCCTTCTCCACTCAGTGCGTGTGCCAGTTGGTTTACATGGACGCCCAGTTTCTCCTGATATTTCAGGCTGATTTGAGCTATTTCCTGCCGAACTGTTTTTAGGCCGAGGTCGAGGTATATATATCTATTACTTATACAATGAGGGATGCCAAACATTGATCTCAGAGCTTTGGTCTGGAATCTCTCCAGGATATCTATATTACTGTTGCTGGCCGTTCCCCACAGTTGTATTCCGTAAGTCCAGATTGGTGTACAATAAAGATTATTCTATTCTATTCTATAATGCTGAATAGCTTGCAGGTGACATCTGGAACGGTATACTATGGGGATCTTGGCTCAACTATAGTGAATTTTCGTGCGTTTGGGCGATTCTGCCATTCAGATCATTGAAATCAAATATTTACTTTTTCACTTTTTCACATGACGACCGCATGGCGTAGTGGTTTGTGTAACAGACTGCTATTCTAATGGTCGCGGGTTCGATTCCCGCTCAAGTCAAACATTTGTATGCATGAACATTTAATGTTTGATTTGGTCTGGGTGTTTCTATGTATAATATGTATGTATTTACAAAAAAAAAAAGTAAAAGCTCTGCTTAGTTTGGGACTAGATGGCGTTGTGTGAATGTGGTAGAATATTATTATTATTACTTAGGACCCATAATATATTGTGGCCGTGCTTCCCTGTTTAAAACTGTGTACGCCTATTTTACTTCATTTTGTCTCCCACTTTGCTAAGGAGGGAAGTGGATTTATTATATTTCCAACTCCTCCAATTTCCTTCTGATTTATTTCGTTGCGGGTTCCAAGACATTTAAATTTTTGCCTGGGACTTTCCGAGTGTCATAACTCGGTGTGTTCGTAGGTTGCTGTTGATCTTGGTGTACAGGAGTTACAGTGGTGGCCGTATGGCAGGGATTAATCCCATCACACAAAGTGTTGTTCCATGTGGGGCTCGAACCCAAAACACAATAATTATTCCTACATCTATGTATATATACCTATAGGTGTAGTTATTTATAGCAATGTATTTATACAAATTGTACCTAACGTGTAAAACATACATACAATATGTTTTGTTTTTGATTAACTGAATTACATAATCATAATTTGCAATTTAATTGCAACGACGATATGAACTAATTATTTGACGTTTTGATGTAAATAGTTTAATCTTTTTATGTAAGTTATTGTTAATTATAATTAGAATATGTATGTAAATACTCCATATGCTTAATTTGTTTCAGAAGTAATTTTTACAAGCTTTTATTAGCTTTACCAGTATGTATGTATGTATCTAATATCTTAAAAAACACTTATCTTAAAGAGATTATTTTTATACTATCAGTAGGAAAGCTGGTGAACAATTTTAGGTAGGTTCTTGAGGCACAACGAAAATGTTTTTCTAATGGTCCTTGAAGGACTCCTAAATAAGATTGCCGAGGTTCGGCTGAAAGGTATCGGCACCCTACTAACACTTGAATTTTTATAAAGGGAAATTTCTCTATTGAAAAATGTTTTTTAAGGCATTTTGAAATTTTTATATCTTTAAGTTAGATATTTAAGGAATAGAAAAATAAGAAAGCCAAACCAATGAGTCGGGTCTAATTCGGGATGGGGTTTATTTGTCTTTAAGTTTTTATATTACTCGCAAAAAAGTCCAAAGTGCCTCAAAAACATTTTTTTGCATTTGTTTAAAAAACTTTTTGCAACAGTCTGGCTAGCATTTAGACCCGACTGATTGGTCTGGCTCTAATGCTTTTGGTGGTATCGCTATTGAACGCAGAAGACATTTTCAGAAGCTGCAGAAGAAGAGAAGGGAATTTTAAATATTTTATTTTGAAACTTAATGCACGTCCTCTGTACAAGGTAGACTTAATGCCCAGGGCATCCTCTACCTGCACTAGGGACTTCCTTTCTAGGGTATACCTGGTTCCCCGGCTATTAGTACCCGAGACGGCGTGCGGTTTTAGTCGGTTCGAGTCCGACATGCCACCGACAGGTGGTATCCGAGGGGATTTCCGCAAGGAAAAAAAAAAGGCATCATCTACCTGTCAACCTTGGGGTACTACAGTATTATAGTACCCCAATAGAGACAAAGATAAAATATGAAATTGAAAATAACAATCCATAAGTGTGAAATCCTAGAATCCTAAACAGTGGTTTCCTACTATAATTAGGATTAATTCGGCGCAGGCTATTTCTTAAGTGGAAATGTGATGTGGGCTAGGGTGTTTTTTTATTGACGACCGAATGGCGTAGTGGTTTGTGTAACGGACTGCTGTTCCAAAGGTCGCGGGTTCGATTCCCGCTCAAGTCGAACATTTGTGTGAATAAACATTTAATGTTTGATTTGGTCTGGGTGTTTCTATGTATAATAAGTATGTATTTCCAAAAAAAATATATATGTATTTATATCAGTTATCTAGCACCCATAGTACAAGCTCTGCTTAGTTTGGGACTAGATGGCGTTGTGTGAATGTGGTAGAATATTATTATTATTTCACTTCACTTTCTCTTTTATTTGATCTTTTCTCCTAATCTTATTTTTCTATTTATTGTCTTTTGACCTTATAGTCCATAATAACGGACGTAGTGAAAAGCATAAAAGACTTGCCAAAGCACGGCTTTAAAGGTAAAATATTTATTTGGAGTTTCTACACGTTATTTTACTCTTTGCCGAGCCTTAGGGATGTGATAACGGCTCCACAAGGATATATAAATGGTCCAGGAACTGTTGTATGCAGGACATTCTCATTGTGGACGTTGTACTAAACACACAAGCAGAAGAATTGAAAATCTTAATTATGATTCTGAAGTATACGAGTATATTTATTTTGTTATTCTACTGTTATATTGGTACGTATAAATTCTGTATTTATAACATAACATAATACTTGAAGAAACTGTGCGTGTCTAATTTATAGGTATTTTTATTTTTTATATACATATTAATATATTCTTTGTCAGTTTTTATTTTTATTAATTCTTCATTTTAACAGTCTAGTTAAGTAAGTTTTAAAAACAGTATTTATCTTATAATAGGTTTGTACTGACTACTCTTCATAGCTCTTTAAAAAAATGTAGAAGTTTTTTTTTACTGTCTACTAGCAACCGAAATTACTAGGATTCCCATTAACCCCTCCCGCTAAGCTAAATTGCTTGTGTTAGGAGTGGGTTCACGTCGGTAGTGTACTGGTCAGGATTTGAACCCACGACCTCTTGATCGCAAGTCCAACGCCTAAACCACGAGGCTACCGCCGGTTTTCTTCTATTAAGTTATTCTTTTTAATTACAAATATTTATCTTTTCTCACGAATTAGGAGGAGCCCAGGGGTCTGTCAGACTACAAAGTAGTGGACCCACAGTCCTTGGCGCCAATATTACTCTATCAGCTACTTTAGTTGACGAATATCCTGGCGTATTGCACAAGTTTGTCTTTCGCAATGTTGAAAAAGGGGAGACCTTCGAGGTGAGTGTAAAATACATTACACATATAACTTTTAGTAATGCGGTTTATAATTTACCAACTGACCATCGTCTGCGTCTCTTAAAAGGAATAATTTTTTCCCAGTTTTGCATCATTTTTCATCAAAACTCGGTTTCTGTTGATGGGAGAGCGATGTTGCTCTTTGATGGTGTTGGTGTTGACAGCCTTAATTCGAACGAGTAGTTCCTGAGATTAGCGCTTTCATCCAAACAAAAAACTTTTTAGATTTATAAAATTAGTATAGATTTTTTTAACAATAAACAATAAGTTATGGATATTATTTGTTTACATCGCACTTTTATAAGTAACTACAATATGATTTTTATTCCGTTAGAATAGAGATGACAATTTATGTAGGTTAGTGGACAACGAACTTACGGTTTAAAGTCAAATGCAATGCTACTGTAATACTTACAAAATACGATACCTTTTTGTTTATCAGACCTTGCGATAAAACTGTATAGTTCGTATCGATATTTGCCGGACGGCCCGGGCAGGTTAGTGATACTCCCCATGCCGCCTTGACTGTGGCCGCGGGTGGACGGGACAGGTTTTCCCCTCTACCACCCGGTTAGTAATCCTGGCTACTGAGCCAGTAGGCATGGGTTTATCTCCAATTGATCCAATTTCTACCAGAGTATAAAATATTATATGTTCTGTAGTCATTTGGTGTGATGGTTGTTTTCGCAATAACTGAACTTTCTTTTAAACTTCCTTTCAGATTTTAAGTTCACAAACAGTTGTGAATTATACCGTGAAAATAAGCAGGGAGAAATATGATGTAGGATTGTACGCCTTTGAAGTAAGAGTTTACAGGAAAAATAAATACAAACGTCGTACGTTTTCGCTTATTGCTAGCGACCGAATCAGGGTTTCTGTCACAGGCATGTATCTAACCTTTTCATTCAAGCTTTATATTAGTGTAACTCGTATCTTGAAAGGAAGAAAGAAAATTTATTTATTTTGTAATTTATTGTGTATTTGTACAAAGAAAGAACTTCTGGAAGTAGGATCAATTTGATTCAAGTTTCAAATACAAGACTAATAATTAAACATGATCCATCCTAAGGTTGCCTGGAAGAAATTGCATTTAGCAATAATACCGCCCTTTGTACACTCGATATTTGATCGCTGTGTTACTTTCTTGTAACTCTGTAATTTAGTATGCAAATAAAGAGTTATCTATCTATCCATCTAAACAATTTAAGGCTATAGTCAGTTTAAGAAGGTTTTCTGGTGGACTTTGAAAGAAGAAATAATGCCTGTTAAGTATGTAGAATTGATTCTTGCTATGTACAGAGAGTCTAGCACTCATGTAAGGTGGGTCAAGGGAAACACTGATTAATTCAGTGTCTCTGTAGGCTTACACCAGGTTGCTCTGAGCCCATACCTCTTCCTGTTGATAATAGATGCTCTGACATCAGACACACAGGAGAAGGCACCTTGGTGTATGCTGTTTGCAGATGACATTATGTGCGTGTGGTGACGGATTAAGAAAACAGAGTGTCACCACCCCTATTCATCCCGTGGGTGTCGTAAGAGGCGACTAAGGGAGCGAAATACGCAGGATAACAGCATTGCAGAGAGAAGGAAAACTTGACACAAACCCTATCAGTGTTGTGTTGAAGAGTATAATACTATTTATATTAAAATTCTAAATGCACATTCAGGAAAAGTTAAGTACCTTAAATAAAACTTATGGCAATAACCACTTTATATTATTGTTACAGTACATTATTTAATTATATTTTAATCCACAGAATTATTGAACGGTAAACTAAAGCTGGTCCAGAACGGATTTGACAGGTCATATGGCAGGATATTCCCCAATGAGCGTGTGAGCCATATTATAGAGTTATCCAATGAAGAACTACAGTTTCTAACAGACGACAATACGTATTTAGTCCATTGGTATATAGATTGTTCATTAATATCATCAACGGGCCTCTCTTTCGACTATACCTACGAAGACGCCTATAAAACTTATAATTTGGAAGCGTTAGTGGAAGTGGAACATAGCAAATTTTCTAACGGTACTTCCACCTCAAGCCTTGAAGAATTGTCAGGTTTCAAATGTGCACCAATTTATAGTTCTGGATACACCTATGGATATTACAAAGCAAGAGTTCGCGCAGACGGTAAGCAGAATTGTATTTATTTTTGCTTAAATTTGATATTAATATGACTAACTGGTCAATTTTCTTTACAAGTTCAACTTACGGGTCGGGATCAGGTCACAGGATTAGTGAAATAAAGAAATATATTTATCCGCAATGGTTAAGATATGTATACCCGCCATTCATCATCATATTCCTATCCATTCAAAAATTTATTTGGGGTCGGTGTACTAAGTGTTCTTCTTCTGTCCTCCTTGATTACTCGATACTCACTTTCACGGGCTCCTCCATTTCATTGCGAAATTGCCTACATGGGAATGTAATTGTTCTTCGTTCATTGTATGAAGCGAAAGAATATGTGGGACAAACAACCAGGGTTTTTGGAACGAAGTTCCTTATCGCGCGTTGTGAAAGGGGGTTAACCTAAAAAAAATCTCACGAAAAGTTGTAACGACACTTTTTATGTCAGTCATTCAGCGCTATCTATCGAATAGATAGGAAATCATTACTTTTCGTCTCAGTATTTATTTTGAATTATCACTTGTCAGTCATTCGGCGCCATCTATCGAATAGATAGGAAATCATTTCTCAAGGAGATTTTACCAATGTATAAATTGTTTTAATTAGAAACCAACTGAAAAATATGTAGGTAATAGACGCTTTCATAGATGGCGTTGTAATTAAAATCGTGTCGAATCAGTTTTACTCGATCGTCACAACTTCGTTCCTATTGGGTGTCCCACGACACCACACGGCTTTTTTCAATTTTGTAATGCGAACAGCTTCACAGCCCATTAACTTGCCATTTTCATCAAATTTACATTTAGGCTAGGTTAAAAGTGCCTATGGATAATATTTATATAATATGTGCATGTTGGCTAGTTGGTGCGTTAGCTGCCTCTACGAGCAACTGCAGATGCAGACCAGTTTCCCATTCGGTGCTTGTAATATATATTATCTAGCTCCAATACTCTATCCACTTTCTGTAATCCAATTCCTCGTCATCTATCCAGCTTGAAACGATAAAAATTCGGAGGAGGGTTTTTGGCAAGTAGGCGGCAGGCCATAGAAGAAATTAGCCAAAATCAATTGCTATATTTAGCATTACGCTGAAATGGGCTGAAACATGATTATGAGCGTAATATTTTATTATCCATGACTTCATTGGCATACTTGTAACCAAGCAGAACGTTTCCCGATGCTAGAAATATATAATTAGTACAATAATGATTATTTATAAATTGGTATGGTGAAGATAACCCAAACTTTTTTTAAGCAATTTCTGATTTGATATAAAAGTTTCTCTTTTACAGCTGCGAACGGTTCTCCCCCTCCACCAAGGGTAACTTCAGAAAACCCGTCAAATACATGGCAAGACTCAAGCTCACCGGATTCGACTACCGAACGTTCTATTGGTCGCGTTCAGTCAGGTAACATTTTGCAGAATATCGTCACCTCTTCGTCGTCGTCTCTTGATGTAGACGCAATGTTTATAAATAACTGACTTTATGTTTTTACCTTATGTTGTTTGTATTTTTACTTTAAGTAATTAGGCTGTAGTTTTTTAATAGTTCTGCTTTACTTGGTAATTATTAAAATTTTACTTAGATTTAAAAAAAGTCCGGAATGCCTTTTATCGGGGACACGGCGGTGCTCACGCCAAGTCGCGCAAAAAAGTAAAAAATAATTCCAGAAGTTTTTCAACATCTTCTAACTCGTTGTGGTTAAAAGTAGAAGTTTCACCTGTAAGAGATCAATAGAGGACAATTTAACAAAGTACATTTCAAAATGTTATTAAATTTATTCTTTGGTCCTTTAAACAGATGATGTAGCATTATTTCTTACTTACAAATTGGTTTTACTCCCGAATTAGGAGGTGACAAGGGTTATGTGAGATTAAGAAGTAGTGGACCCACAGTCCGTGGCGCCAATCTCACCCTAACAGCTACTATTGTTGATGACTATCCTGGAGCAGAACGCATGTTTGTCTTTCGGAATATTAAAGAAGAGGAGGCCGTAGAGGTGAGTGTAAAATGCATTATAGAAATAACTTTTGCAGAGATGAAAATTGCATGTAGTCCCTTTGAAATGCTTACAATTTGTTCGTTTACAATGACACTGACAACGAACATACAGTGTTAAGGTCTATTTTAATACAATAACGTTAAATTTGATTTAAAAAATTAAAGAGTTTAGTAGTAGTTTAGTAGTAGCGGTAGTAAATTATAAAATATGAATATCATTGTCCGAGTGGTGAAGGATTAAGAATATGGGATGTCACCACCCCTCTTTATCCTGTGGTTGTCTTAAGAGCCGCCTAAGGGAGCAAAACTACCCAGGTCAAAATCACTGCAAAGAGAAGGAAATTCTGAAACACAAACTTTTTTTTTTAACGTGTGGAAATCCCCTCGGACCGTCACTCCGCCGGGGTTCTCTATTCGGCGGGGCGGTGTGTTGGACTCGAAGCGACTAAAACCACACGGTGTGCCCTCTTTGCGCTTCTATTTTAGGGGGGGTCCAGGTAGTTATCTCCTTCTGGACCCCTCCCAGCGCCGCGTCGCTCCTGGTGCGGGCTCCGTCTCAAATTTTCCTCTCTTTAGGCGACGTCCGGCACGAGCGGCCAAACTATCGCGGGTGGAGGGGAAAACCCATCCCGTCCACCCGCGGCCACACTCAGGGCGGCATGAGGCGCAGGCGAGCGCGCCTCCGCCACCCGGTTCGCCAGCGGCGGATCAGGTCCGAGTGGAGGTCGTCCTCCCGGGCCTTCTCCGCCGTCTCCTTCTGCGAGATTACTTCCTCGCAGAAGGTTGCGACAGCGGTAAAAAAACTGTCGCAACCGGCCATGGAGCGTACTACGGAGATCCACTCCGATGACTGCAGTGAGGGCCCGGCGCTTCGTCGCCCATGCGGGGCAGACCGCCAGCGTGTGCTGGGCCGAGTCCTCACTGCAGTCACAGTGGTGGCAGGCGGGACTCAATTCCCTCCTGGCGACCTAGTACAGGTACTTTCCGAAGCAACCGTGCCCGGAAAGCACCTGCGTCAGCCGGAAGGAAAGGGTCCTATGCTGCCGCCCTGCCCACACGGTGATGACCGGCTGGAGAGCCTCCACGGCGGCGAAGCCAGCGCGTGGAGTCTCCAGCCGAAACGACCATCTGACCATGGTGTGCGGCTTCGCGCGTCTTCGGGCGGAGGGCGAAATCCGCTCGCCGCCCGGAAGTCAGCCACTCGCCTATGGACTTCGAAGAGCACTTCCGCCTCCAAATCCCACAGGGGTGTTCCGGCCAAGACGCAAGCCGCTTCGGTGGACACCGTGCGGTATCCACGTATGGCGCTGACCGTCAATATCCTCTGGGGACGCCAGAGGCGGTCAGAGCCGCCACCCACACCTCGTGGGACCAAGCTGTCGAAAGTGCTCGTCGAAGAGCCACCTACCGTCTACCGGTACCTCATCTGGGCCCGGACCGGTATGAGGACCGAGCTGACCTCGATTGAGGCGCCGGCGGGTGGACCACGGCGGGGCCCATGAAATAGTAGGGCCTCCGTCTTGACCAGGGCCACCCGTAATCCCAACGCCTCAATGCGACCGATCACCAGGGAAACTCTTGTGGCGGCCAGGCACGACGCCTCCTGGAAGTTAGCCCCCGGGCCGTGACTAAAGTGTCATCTGCGTAGCAGAGTACACTCAGCCCGGGGGGGAGACACCCTCGTAGGGCCCAGTCGTATCCAATGTTCCACAGGAGTGGTCCTAGGACAGACCCCTGCGGAACACCGCACGACATGGCCCTGCGTCTCAAGACACCATCTCGGTATCTTGAAACACACCCTGTGCCAACCCATCTTGCTAGCGTGTTACAGTAGGCTAAATCTTCCTTACTAGAGAGGCTATTAATGATAATGATGACCACTGTAGAGGCTCGACCATATGTTTCCAGTGAAAAAACCTTAAGTGGGGATTTGCAATTCTACAGCAACCATGTACTTTACGCAAAGATATACATATTCGAATACACAGTTGATAGGAATTTACAATTTTGTTTTAAGATGTGAAACTCTGTCCCTTAAACTAGGTGAGTTACCTGTATCTTAAGAGACAGTGTTCAGCCTTACAGATTCATCTTATATTAGTTCTGTTAGAGTTGTGTCTTTCAATAGATAATATGCGGTTGGATGTTTACGTGTGTATGTTCGTGTGTGTGTGTGTGTGTGTGTGTGTGTGTGTGTGTGGGCGTGCGTGTGTGTGTGTGGGCGTGCGTGTGTGTGTGTGTGTGTGTGGGCGTGCGTGTGCGTGTGTGTATGTATGCGTGTGTACTGTTCAGTAATTCAGATAATGTAATAGATTATGATATCGCAATAATATAACTTCCTTTGTTACTTCCTTTTAGATTTTAAGTTCAGAAGCAGTTGTGAACCATACCCTGAAATTAAGCAAGTACAAATATGAAGCCGGAAACGCTGAATTTGAAGTAGCAGTTTATGGGAGAAAGATATTTAATCCTAATAAATTCCGGTATTTAGGAAGCGACGTAATCAAAGTCCCTGTTACAGGTATATCTAAACCCTTTCATTAGTGTGACCCGTAGGTATCTGTTTATTTTTCCACAGTTTCTGGAAATTTGAATAACTACAAGCACACAATACAAGCTTTTTAAGAGTGTATATATTTCAAAATATAAAAGTTATTTTTATTTTATTTGTTGTTTGCGAGGTGTTCACGTTTACACTTATTATTCCATATTTTTACATGACTATAATTTAGTATTTAGTCCATACTTTAAAATAAAAATGAATGTTAAACATTTTTTGTTAATAAACAAATAGACTAGAGAGGGCCACCACTTTGAAACATTATTTTCAAATACTATCAATATTACGGTAAAACATTTAACTATATTTCACAGAACTATTGAACGGTAAACTGAAGCTGATCCAGAACGGATTTGACAGGTCATATGGCAGGATATTCCCCAATGAGCGTGTGAGCCATATTATAGAGTTATCTCAAGAAGAATTACAGTTTCTAACAGACGACAATACGTATTTAGTCCATTGGTATATAGATTGTTCATTAATATCATCAACGGGCCTCTCTTTTGACTATACCTACGAAAACCGTGACAAAACTTATATTTTGGAAGCATTAGTAGAAGTGGAACATAACCAAAATTCATCAGCTCCTCGAGTAATAGGCAGAAGGGCTGACAGACTGTCAGGTTTCAAATGTGCACCAATTTATAGGTATGGATACACCTATGGATATTACAAAGCAAGCGTTCGTGCAGACGGTAAGTTGAATTATATATAATATATATTAATAATACTCGTATTATTAATACTATTATACGTCATTAAACGTATATCAATAGTAGGCCAAAGCCCTCTTTCTAATTAGAGGCTTACATCCAGCAATATACTAATAAAGGCTGTTGATGATGATGATGAAGTCATTGAACGAGTTATGATACATAACATAGAAGCTTTTGTTCACAGCCACGGATGGTTCAACCCCTCCACCAACGGTAGCTGCAGAATACCCGTCAAATACATGGCAAGACTCAGGTTCATCTGATCGGGCTATTGAATCGTCACCACGACCGTGGAGAACAACACCAAGATCACCTTGGAGAGATGAAAGAGTTTGGAATGCATCACTAATTCCAACTTTTCCAGAAAGTAAACCTTTCAAAAATTCGAGGACAACAGAGCGTTCTACTCTTAATACTATTGACAGCGGTGACCACAAAAATTGTATTACAAATGCAAACAACGCTCTGATATCAATAAAGGATGGTCATATGAAATTAGCAATGGATCTAGTATTTCATGGTACCCTCAATATCTCTTCTTTTCAAGTAGAGGGAAATTAACCACCATTTTGTATTTATCTTAAATATAAAATTCTTCTCGTCACAATGTTCGTTCCCCTAGGTACTCCCCCGAAACGGCTTGACCGATTCTCATGAAATTTTGTGTGCACATCGGGTAGGTCTGAGAATCGGCCAACATCTATTTTTCATACCCCTAAATGGTAAGGGTGACCCATCCCTAATTTTTTTTTTGTTTTGCTATACAACGTTTGCCGGGTCAGCTAGTTAACTATATAATAAGTATTCCTTAATCGGCTTTAAAGAATGGAATAAGTTCCCAATTCGGCTGTGTATTTTTTTATGTTTCTAATTGTAGAACTCCGTCATTTGTGAATTGATTTGGAAATATTTTATTTTTATTTAAAAAGGTATATATACTGTTTGATCTTATAAAAGATTTGAAAAAAAAAACAATCCTTTGGTTGAAAATTTTAGAATACAGCCTGTTACGATTCATTGAAGTCGGTTATAATTTTTTTAGAGTTAATTATTTGTAAATTTCACAGATTTCTCAAATTCAGGGTTACCTGACTCTTCTCTTAAACTGCTTGACCGAAATTTAGGCTTTTATTTTACTTTTTCGATAATCTCAGTAATGGCAATCATAACAGTACAGTCAACATATAAATCAGTACAGTTTTTGTGCTATTTTTATCAATACTACTTCTATCATCAGCCATATTGTTTTATTGAAGTAATTCTTCTTTGTAGCGTTCATATGTAACTAGTACTAAAAACTTTGTTTTCTATTGTATACCAAATAAACACAGAAAGTAGAGGCATACGAACCGTTTACCCCACACTATAAATAGAAGAATTTCCATTGCATATAAACAATGTAGAAGAATTCATGAGTGTTTTGTTATTTAAACAAGAAAGTCAGAGACGTTTAATAGAAGAAAAATATCTAAGTATTCTTATTTAAAGAATTATTCGTATATTTCGAGTGCGAATGGTGCTTTTATTTTTCTATTTGTTTTTTTCTTTTATAGATAGGTATAGTTATTACTTTTTCTTTTTCGAACATAATTGAGTTGTAGTAACGTTGAATTGTATGCCTTTGAAATGATACATTTTGATGCTTAATACTTAGAAATAAGTTTATTAGAGTATAGGATATTTCTTTTGAAATAAATTCTTTTTTTTACTTAACTGTTGTTTTATTATATTCCAAGTCTTTTTATTATTATTATTACATACACATCACACGTAACATAGTCAGTAACGAGGTTCTTTTAATGAAAAATAAATTGCATATTACACTAATGTATGATTATATTTAATGGTTGTATGTTATAACAGCTTCCGTAAAGCAGTAATCTTTTAAAGAATTTGTCGTGATAAAATCACTTTGAAAACTGACAAATCAAAGAAGCTACCAGAAACTATAAATATGAAGTGAGGTAGAAAGTTTTCGTGGTTAATAAAACTAATCAGAAGGAATGAAAGAAATTTCCACGCTATGACGCGGTTAATGCACTCTCTGGATGGACCGTGACAATATTTTTGATCTGAAGAGCAATTCTCTTAATAAAAGTTCGGTCTTAATTCAGTTCAATTCAACAAACTTTCGATCTCACATAATATATTCAATTTATTTATTTTACTAGATTTTACCAAAAGTTTAGATTCAAAATAACGCTAAGAAGGGCAATCAATCGTTCCCCTAGTTCAAGAGATTACGACTCGGACTGTTGTACACAATTTTCTTGAATAAACCATCATTATCAGCCTATCGCAGTACACTGCTGGAGATAGGCCTCTCTTATTTCACGCCACTTAGATCGATTTTGGGCTTCTCGCATCCAGATTAAATAAATAATAATGATTATTATTACTAACAGACCAGAGAGTAGTTCCTTTCTTATTACACTACTACCTACTAATTCCTACTACAAATTCATTCTGAACTTGTATTTTTATTCCTTTGTTGTATTTGTAATTTGTATTTGTATTCCTTCTACAAATTATTTCTGAATTTGTAGTAGGAATACAAATTCAGAATGAGTCGGAACATCCTCAACCAATTCTAGCAGGCCAAAATTTTACCAGCGATAATTAATAGGTAGAAAAATAACTATTTAATAGCAGATCAATCATTAGTCCATATTATGCTCTCAATCCAGGGTACGTAGTATCGCACGCGAGTATAAATGCCAGCTTTACCAGGAGTTTCACCGTCTTTACCAAAGGATGTGATACCCAAGATGTGGTATACACAATCAGCGTTCATACTCTGTTGGAGTGGTCCACCACTGTCTCCCTGGAATATGAAATTGGTCATTATAATAAATTGGTCTACTCATCAAGATTTACGTCTTTTTTTTTGTAATTTATACTAAAAAAAACCAAACCAACTCAAGGTAACTAAACCACTACTGTGAGCTTTTCGAGACACTTTTTGCCCCGCACAACCAATCTGTGGAACGGGTTAACGTCTGCGGCATTTTCGGACCGATACGACCTTCAAACCTTCAAGAATAGAGCGTACTCCTTCCTGAAAGGCCAGCAACGCGATTGTGACTCCTGAGTTGCAGACGTCCATGGGCGGCGATGGTCACTTTCCATCAGGTGACCCGTCTGCTCGTCTATCCCCATTAAAAAAAATATAATAATTTTATTTTGAATACTCTGGCTCTGGACTGTTCCTCAGTCAAGTTACTTGCAAAGTAGGCTTGAGTCGAAGTGTCTTGGGACACTTTTTCACACCTCTCTTAATCATCGTGATTAAAAGCAATGAAAAAACATGTTTAACGCCATTGTGAGTTCATGGTATTACTTATAGCTAATCTCAAATGTGCCGAAGCATGACTCTCACGCCGTGTACACCATAACTAAACGTATAAACCCCATCCGAATGATGTAAAGAATGAGCTATATTCTCAAGATTCAATCAAGTGGGTCTTTGCTACCTTGAGTGGCGAGGCTGAGCCTTTTTTTTTATGCCATAAGGGGGCAAACGAGCAGACGGGTCACCTGATGGTAAGCAACTACTGCCGCCCATGGACACCTGCAACTCAAAAGTCATAAGTGCGTTGCCGCCCTTGGAGTCCCTCCCGCTCGAGTCAGGGGGGGATTTGGGCTCCGGTAACCGCACTCACTCAGTGAAAGGCAACGAAAGAATTGCTTGAAACCGATTTTCTGTGACGACCTGGTATCACTCCGGTCGAGCCGGCCCGGCGAAGCATGGCTCTCCCACGGTGATTATGCCTGTGGTAACCCTTAGTTGAAAAGCATCAAAAGTATTGTTTAACACCAGTTTTCTGTAAAACCATGGTATGCCACGCCTTAATGTGCCAAAGAGTGGCTTTCACACGGGTATAAATGTTTTCTAATTGTTCAATCTTACCTCGCAAGTATCCACTAATTTATCTGCTCGTCCATAACACATCTGTGTTACATTATCGTAACCATTTTTGAAGTGTCGATGTGGGGGAAATAGTATCGAACACCAATCGTCGTTGTATTTGTGCAGTGTCATCTGGAATCATGAGAATAACACTGAATACCTTCATCCACCATCTTAGTACGAGCAACTGCATCGACTGCACAGATGGCGTAGTGGTTTAAGTGGTCGCCACGCCGCTTCCTACTGCGTCAAGTGTTGTGGGTTCAAACCCCACATGGGACGACACTTTGTGTGATCCACAAATTGTTGTTCTGAGTCTGGGTGTACTTTGTGTCCGTTTCATGTATGTTTGTAAAGTCCCCCGCGACACAGGAATTATTCCAAGTGCGGGAGTTGTCTTTCTAATTTGTTTGTTGTTACGATTTCAAACCTACGCCAGCGCCTAACATAGGCTACTTTTACCGTAATAAGAGACATCCACGCGAGCGCAGCCGCTGGCAAAAGCTAGTTAATCATAAAGTGAGTTATTTCCTTACAGCTTGTAAATGATTTCCCAACTCTCCTTTAGGGCCCTGAGGTCCCCAACCTGTTGCTGTCAGAACATTGTCACAAACTTTGCCGGTGTCCAGACATGCTGGTAATATAGACTTGCCGAAGTTTATCCTGTAACAATATTTTGAGAATATGTTTTTTTAATATCCAAAAGAACTTCTATGAATAAGTGCAAAATTTCTCCTAAAGTTTGATTCTGAGGTGCTTGGTTAGAAAGTGAAAAAAGGTTCTTGATCTTTTTAGCTTCACTTGTATGTTTGTAACCTGACTGACTGACTTTAAACGGTCAGAATTCGTTCAAACTTTGTAGATATATCGAGGACCGATGACAATACACTAATTTAAAAAAATATATATATATAGTGGACGGAATAAGAATACGTAATGTCACCACCCCTATTCATCCCGTGGGTGTCGTAAGAGCCGACTAAGGGACCAAACTACGCAGGACAACAGCACTGCAAAGAGAAGAAAACTTGAAACACACCCTATACCAACCCGTCTGGCCAGCGTGGTATAGTAGGCCAAAACCTCCTTTCTAAGGAGAGGCCTATGTCCAGCAGTGGACTGTTATAGGCTTTTGATGTGATGATGATGTGATATAGTTTTAAAAACTAAAAAACACGCTTTCTTTTTTTCAAATTTATTTTCTATGTATTAGTTTGGTTTTCTATAGAAAGCGTGTTTTTTAGTTTTTTGAAACTATATTTTTTTTCTATTTTATATATGATGGTAAACTACTACCGCTGTCCATGGACCTCAAGCTTCGATCAACAATAGCAACTGATCGAAGACCTCAAGAATCACAAAGGCGTTGATGCCCTTCGCAATCCCCTACCCCCCCCCCTCGAAACATCGGTTTTCTGTGAGGCCGTTGTACCTCTGCTATCGAATAGTTCCATTTGTACTGAAGCATGACTCTCCCACGTCTTAGTCTCCAGTTTGACTCCAATATTACAGCCCCATTTCATTGTAGTAAGGATTGCCAGACCTTGGTACTTGAAATTTTTGCTAAAACACTTGGGTACTTGTCAAACTTAAAAAAAAATGTTTTACTTACTCATTTGCCGTTTTTAATAGCATTATGTCATGGTATTTGCATGGTGATTTGTACTCGGGATGTTTAATGATGGCTTTAATTTTATATACTGGATAGTTGTCGTTTAGGTCCGTTCGTTTTAATATTCCCAACGCTGCAAATGTGACATTTCCTCTGAAATATGAACTTAACGTAAATAATAATAACTTGACCCATCTCTGATCTTAAACTAGGCTGAGCCTGTACTGGGAACATGGGGTTCCCACACGGGGGGGGGGGTCGTCTACTCGTCTGTAGATGACCCGAGGTATGTCGGGTCACCAGGGACTTCCTTTCTAGGGTATACCTGGTTCCCCGGCTATTAGTACCCGAGACGGCGTGCGGTTTTAGTCGATTCGAGTCCGACATGCCACCGACAGGTGGTATCCGAGGGGATTTCCGCACGGAAAAAAAAAAAAAAGGCTGAGCCTGTACTATGGTAACCCGACTAGTGATAAACATACTTATATGTTTCTAAATACGTAAATATTACAAATAAACTGTGCCGTGATACGGAACAAAGAATTAATGTGCTTATCACACGACATTTTTCCATTGTGGGAATCGAAGGGACGCTCTTTTGCATAATAATCAGAATAGCTATGCACTAGACCAACAAAAAAAACTGAATTAAATTCATGAACTTAAAGAATTATTCAGGTGTGCCTAGATTAGTAGGTAGAGTTGTTTTTTAGTAACCATACATAGATTATTCCACGATAGCATCTGAAATCAAAAAGCCTGCATATTAAGTGTTTTTTTTTGGTTTTGGGCTATACCTTATGCTAAAACGTAATTGTAAAAAAACTTTTTCGTCAATGGTAATCATAAATCTAATAACCTATCTGTCCTGGATCAGAATATTGCAGGTAAAGGTAAATAAGTATTCTATCAGTCAATCTAGCTTTCATAGTACAAGCTTAGTTTGAAACTAGATGGCGTTGTGTGTCAGATGTCCGAAAATTTTACTATTATTGATTTATTGATTCCTCTGATTAACATCTTCAGCTAAAATTTTCTGTTTCAATTGTTGATATTTTACTAGTTTGAAGACAACAGTACGCTTACACTCTGGGTTCTGAAGAACAATGGGCGGCTGACAATATAAACCTTTCGCTGATTACAGAACCTCCGCAGAGCCATTGAGCTGACTCACGTTCAGCACCGTACCCCAGTAGCGCCTGAAATATATAAACCAACAGCATAAAGCAAAAACAAAAAAATATATATCTCATTCTCATCAAGAGTGCTGACGATCTCTTTCGCATCGCGAAGAACAAGAAAGAATACACAGAGATGACTGTCAACCTTCGCTAGTCGAAGAGGCGTTTAAAGAAGAAGAAAATTATCACTGAAATCACATGGCTAGTTTAATTCGTAATCTTTTTGTGTTTCAACAAAAATATCTGGTCAGTTGGACGAAATACTGACTTAAGGAATTGGAGTTAATGACGCAGAATGGTTTTGAAACAATATAATTTTCTAATGCATATAATGCAATATAATGGACTGCACGGATGGCGTAGTGGTTTAAGCGGTCGCCACTTCGCCGAGTGTTGTGGGTTCAAATCCCACATGGGACGACGACTTTGTTTGATCTACAAATCGTTGTTCTGAGTCTGGGTGTACTTTGTGTCCGTTTCATGTATGTTTGTAAAGTCCCCCGCGACACAGGATTTATTCCTAGTGCAGGAGTAGTCGTTTTAAAATAAAAGAAAAAAAATTGTTCTTGAGTGGAGACCGCGTCTCGGCTAGCGTAGTGTATCGCAAATTTGCGGACAGGAGCTGGATGCGAGAAGCCCAAAATCGATAAAAGTGGCGTGCAATGGGAGCGGCCTCTGTCCAGCAGTGGACTGCGATAGGCTGATGATGAATATACACATAATATACAATAGAACACATATTTGCTTTGTTAATGAACAAAAAATAATGAATTCCTAAATGAACACACATATTAATAATGTTTTCTTGCTAAAAGTTAACAGGAAGAGATTCTTACTTTTTAATTCGGTTTTTTATAAGTATTTTAGTCCCCTTTAGACCTATCTGTACCTCATTACTGAAATACTGTTTCATGCTTTTTACGACCTATACAATCCATGGAGTATTATAATTGAAGCTGTGGTTTGAAAACATGAGGGTAGTTAGTGAGCACACGCTGGTGACTACTTACCATGTGTGGGAATTCACCGCCTTTGGCATTTACACCACCATAGGGTACATTATCGTAATGGGTGCACAGCTGCTTGTCGTCCCAGAGAGGCATAGAAAATCTAGAGCTGTAGCGGCAATGATAAGGCAATTTTGAGGAAAATTCTATACACTCTGTAATTAAAAGAATTATAATATTAAATAATAATAATAATTTAATTTCTCACCATAATATAGTATACATTACATTTGAAAAAAAAAACGAAAAATACAAATTATCATTTCCAGAATATTGTGGAAGACTGGTGTCCAAGCTAGGCCTGTGTTTCAAGACACCAGGTCTCCCCGTGTATATTTACATATTTTTTTCCTTTTTTTACATAAGTCGGCACGACAAAGTTGAATGTTTTACTAAATTGTATCTCTTAAAGATCTATATTATAAATAATAGATATAGACTATATATAATAGATAAATATAAATATTAAATTCACTATAGAATATTAAGATAAATTAAGTAAAGTATTAAAGATCAAAAGTTGACTGTAATGTGATTAAATAGTGTTGTGACCAAAAGTTGAATCGGTATTTACTTACTTATTTATTTGGTATACCAACAGCATACATACACTGCACTCTTATAAAATATTTCCACAAATATCATACCTGGTATGCATGCCCATCACAGGTACACACAACATTCACCAAAATAAATAAACCACCTAACATTACAATATTACGAGTGAAATAATACAAAAACCGAATAAAATTTAATACTACAAATACAAAAAATACTGAGAAGAAATGTCAGAGATCTGATTTAACCCGGTACTATAACGAATACCTCAAGTAAAACCTACAAAAGTATAAGAGAATAGAATAAACTTTATCGTACCAATACAAACTTTGTTTTTACAAGAATAGGCAACATTAAAATATTGTACACCAAATGGCAGTCTTATCACTAAAAAGCCATTTCTTACAAGGCTTCCTACGTACCAAGATGGAAATTGAGAGTACCCAATATCTTATCATATTTTTTTAATAAAAATAATTTATATTAAAATACTTACTGGTCCACGCCTTGTTGCCTTTCCCTACATATGTATTTCGATTTTCCATCAACACTTTTCCTTTTAGCCTTAAACAAAAAACTTAATCTCAGCCATGGATTTATATTTAAACAAAATCCCCTTTCAAACAGTTCGATTGCGTTGAGTATTCTTTTGAACATGTCGAAAAAAAAGAAAATTTACCGTCAAACATTTTCTTATTATATTTAACTAGATTTTGAAAAAGAAATCGTCCACGTGGTGATCGATATCATAGGGGATACGCTACTCCTCAAAAAATACGAAGTTTCATATAAATTTCCAAACCCCATTGTACACTTAGAAGTGGAATTTTTAAAAATCTTTTTTAAAATTTCATGCTTCTAGATCCAGCGGTTTCAGCTATGCCTTAATCAATCAGTCAGTGAATTAGTCTGTCAGTTTCTTCTTTTATAGATATATATTTGACAGTAAAACTAACCGGAGAGCGAAGAGAGGCGGCGCTTATGAGAAGAAGTATTCTTCTGTTCTTATTCTTAGCGCCGGCTCGACCGGAGTGATAACACAGCCTCGTAGAAAATTGGTGTTCAGTGATTCTTTTGTTGCTTTCAACGAGTGAGTGAGGCTACAGGATCTCCTGAGTTACATGTGTGCATGAACGAAGATTATCATCTATCGTCTAGTGATCTGTCTGCTCGTTTGAAAACTGGTCAAAACCAAGGAAAGAATCGCTTTACGCCGTTTTTCTGTGAGACCCTGGCATCACTTCGGTCGAGTCGACCGTCGGTCAAAGCAGAGCTCTCCCACGACAGACCTATGGTGTAGTGCATAAGAGGAACTGAAAATTGTGTCATCGAGATAGGGAACCAATCATTTTAAGAAACAACAACTTTAACGGTCTACTGCTGGACATAGGCCTCTCCTTAGAAAGGAGTTTTTGGCCTAATATACAACGCTGGCCAGACAGGTTGGTATAGGGTTAGTGTCAAGTTTTCCTTCTATTTTAGTGCTGTTGTTCTGCGTAGTTTGCTCCCTAAGTCGGCTCTCACGACGTCCACAGGTTGAATAAGAGTGGGGACACAGTATTCTTCTTAATCCGTCACCACCACATGGATTATGGGGGCGATGGCAAAGTAAAACCAATAAAATGAAATTTTTATGACCGTTTTGACTACAGTCCGTACATGAGACCATAAGTGCTTCTTTCTTTCCTATTGAGCAAATAACAAGAGGCAGCTCTGACTCCAAAGCAGTTTACATCTGAAATTAGATAAACATTCAATCAATTATAGTTTAAAAACAAACTAAAAAAATACGCTTTTGTAGCTAGTCGAACTTAAAAGAAGGAAATAATTTGCAATAAGTTAAAAAAAATCATTTTATCGTAATAAAGCGTAGGGTGCTAGATCTCAATTGTTGTAAAAATGTTTTACTGACAGGTATTGGTAAAAGTAAAGTTTTTAAATTATAAAATACTTTGATGTCTAGTAGTCAAGAACTAATAAGCCGAAGGTCGTGGGTTTGTTTCCCACACACTAACAATAAGTTTTATGTGATGAGCTGTCTGTGTCTTTGTGTAATTTATATACAGTGTTCAGAAATATATAAGTATGTTTATCAGCAGTCTGGTTACCATAGTACAGGCTCTGCCTAGTTTCGGATGAGACGGCTCTGTGTGAGATATGTGAGGTTATTATTATTATCCATACATCAATACTTATATTAAATGAGTAAGTGACTTTGTTTGTTACGGCTTCAGGCCTAAACCACTAAACTAGACCACTAACCGACACACACGCGGTCGGAACCGCGGGCAAGAACTAGTATTTTATAAAAAAAATAACCTTTTCCACTAAAATCTATTATAAAACGAAAACTTCTAACCTATAAACCTGTTTTTATATTTATTTACATTTATAAAGTATCTAACTAATCGGGAATACAAAAAATACCACATGCCTTCTTTAAGTTTATCCTCCGGGGTGGACAAGGACACACCAGGTTCAATCCCATAGACACTGTGCCACAGATTGTAGACATATGATAATAATATAAAATAATTATATCTCTCCATTGCGCACACGACAGCACACGACTAAGAAACACACCTGATTAACCTTTATACAGAGAAGGTCTCAAGCTGGTTTTGAATTGTCGGTCGAGAAAATTACGTAGTGATTTGAATTGTAGATATTTTGACCGTCTGTTTCTGTATACATCCCATAAGGTTTTATTCACATCACATTATTATCAACAGCCTTTATTAGTCCACTGTTGGACATAGGCCTCTCCTTAGAAAGGAGGAGTCGATTCTTACGACACCCACGGGATGAATAGGGATGAACGGGATCGGGAGAGGGCCGATCCCGAGCGTAGAGGACGTCGACGGCGCTATCAGCCGTCAGGCCAAATAGCCATAAACTTAAACTGTTAAATTAATCAGATATTTTTATCTAGCTCAGTAATTATCCGGCAAATTAATTGTCAAAATTGACATTAATACGAACTTTAATATATATGAATACTGCTCTAGAATTGGTAAAATAAAAATTTTAACACTAGCTGAGCCGTGCGTTGCCGTAAACAAGAAAGGGTAATAACCATACTTCGGCTCGTACATGTATCGGGCGAATTTATGCTATATTCTTTTACACTCCCCACTATTGAACTGTATTCCAGTCTATACGTACTACTCGACCAAGCGTTTTAGACCAACACGTGGAATGCGGCCTCCGCGCCCGAACCTCGCCTCAGGTACCGCGTTCGTCTTAGTACCGTCGACAAAGTTGCTACCACTCGATTTTGTTTTATGTTAGTTTCCTTTCGTTTGTTAAGTTTATTATAATTCGTTAAATTGTTGTTAGTTATTATAGCTGTTAGTATTTTGTTGTATGGAAAATGGGGAAAAATAAAACAATACACAGTGGACAGCGAGAAATAATATTAAGAGTGATGTATTACTTTGAATAAGAAAAGAAAAGGGGCCGTTTGTCGTTCCTGTAGACCAAGTCTTAAAAAGGACGGTTGCAATTGCAATCAAATTAAATAAAAATTAAATTAGTTAAATAAAAAAAACACCGATCGATCACTTGGATTCTTCTGCTATCCGTACCCGAAGTCGTTTGACAGTCGTCTAGTTCGCTTGGTCGAGTATTACGTAGGCATTATACAGCAATTTAATAGGATGCGTATTGTTAAATTGAGAACAAGTCCTAATAATGAACCCCAGAGCTTTATTAGCGTCTTTACATATTTGCCTTATATGGTCGCGGAAGTTTAGCTTTTGATCAAGAGTTAACCCTAAGTCTCGTATTAAGCTGACATGCTCGAGAGGTGTGCCGGCTAGCGCATATGTTAAAGTTATCGTTTTACATTTGATGCATTAAAGGACAATTTATTTCTTACCCTCCATTCATAGACTGCATCACTCTACCCCCTTTACACATCAAGCTTGAACGATTTTTTTTGTGAAAGCGCTTGACAAAAACAGTAATGCTTTCCGGTATTTACAAAAAAAACTTTCAAAACATCACAAAGGGAAAACTGAAAGATTTGTTTGCCAACAAATATAGGATATATTTGTTTGAAGATTCTCATTTTGAAAGCCTTTTATCTGTTAATGAAAAATCTGCTTGGCAGTCATTCAAAATGGTTGTGGAAGATTTTTTGGGAAATAAAAAAATTAACAATTACAAAGATTTTCAACAGATGGGTGTAAACATGTAATTAAAGATTCATTTTTTTTTACTCGCATCTGAGTTTTTTCCCTAAAAACTTAGGAGTATGAGGGGCGAACGAGTTTAAGTTTTAAAGGTTTTTGAAGAACGACATCAAAGTTTTTGTAATAAAACATGTTAGGGGATTACGGTTTATTATTACATTATAAGAGAAACTGATTCCAATAACTATAAAAAGAAGGGAAAAGTTATAGTATCGCACACCGTTTACAATCTTTCAAGTAGGTAGCCATGAAAAATATGAACAATAAAAATATAATGATAAATATAATATATTTCATTATATTTTTATTGTATATTTTTTATTTTCTTTTCTGGCCTCAGACTGAATCCAAAGGCTGAAAACTTAGTTAACAGAATATCATAATCGACAAGATTAAAGGCCTTAGAGAAATCAAAATATGCTGCATTTATTTTTTACAATCCGCTCTCATCCTAGCAGTTAAATAGTCAACAAATTTTATATGATTTGTTACAGTAGAACGCGAAGGACGGAATCCGTTCTGTGAATCATCTAATCGGGTTCTGATTTGTTTAAAAATGTAACAATTGAGAATAGTTTCAAACAATTTAATCAAAAAAGTTACATACAGGAGTGAATCTTCCCGAACAGATAAGCAGTCTTTCACTAAAAAAGTCGCAAGCAAATGATATTTTTAAACGGCGTACTGCCAGCCTTAACTCAAAGAGGTTTACATGGTCTACCTTTACTTACGACATATTATCTGAAGTTAGTGTACCTCCAGCATCCTTTATGGTCAACAACGGGGTATTAGTGTGAAAAATGGAACTAAAATAATCAGCAAATGCATTAGGGTCATACTCAGAAAAAATGTACATTTGGTACTTTTTTTTGTCCCACTACTTTAATAGCAGATTTAAAATTTGAGTATTATGGCACATATTTTTAATCATGTTTACATCTATGTTTAGTCGTTAATAGGATCTTTTTTTTATAAATAATAAAATATTTTTGTCAAATCGTAGTATAAATAGCATTGGGATTTTTTTTATAAAATATCTGATACACACTGATGCACACTCGATATTTGATCGCTGTGTTCTTTTCTTGTAACTCTGTAATTTAGTGTGCAAATAAAGAGTTATCTATCTATCTATCTATGTATCTATCTTTCATACAAATTTATAATGTCCCAATATATTGTCCCAAAATTATTACATTTCGTTACTCAGTGTTAGTTACGTGCGTATAATTCTGAACGCAGTTGTTCGAAACTGACGGGAAATAATTTTCCTAATATTGACAACATTGCTGCTTTTTATAATTCACCGTACATACAGAGGTCATTTTGTTTTCATCGGTACCCGGGAGTCATTGTGTTGAATTCGCATTTGGAAAAAAATACTGTCAGGGTGATAAACGATTTGAATTTCGGTAAGCATTCACGATTGATTGTACTATTTTATGCCCACGTGTTAGTTATAATAATATATAGACAAATAAATTCAGTTATTGTGTATACAATAAGTGGTACTAACAGAATTATTTTTCGGGGTTATAATTTCTCAGAGTTTGTCTTCAGTTTAGTTTAGTTATTCCCATTGGGTAGGATAAGCCTGATTTAGATTTCTATATTATGTTTTTATTTAGATTAATTATGCATGTTCTGTTCAGTATGTACCCTGCTTTACAATATCAGTTTCGTCACATTGATTCTCCATTTCGTTACTTATCAGTTTATTAACAAATGGCAAATGTACATTTTTTCTGAGTATGACCCATTAACAGCTTCCTGCCCTTCGACCATTCTGTCTCCATAGACGAATGCATTGTCCATGGACAGCGTTAATCATTTAACATCAAGTGGTCCGACTGCTCATTTTTATATACAAAAATATAAAATTTGTTTTTTTTTTTAAATATCTATCGTTATATCGTCGTCGTGGTTGTTGTTGTACCTTGCTCATCCACTTTGGAACACTACACTTTTTCGGAATAAAACCTATGTGCTATTCCAGACTAATCTATCTCTGTGCCAAATTTCATCCTCCAAATCCTCCAGATCCGTTAAGCCGTCTTTACGTGAAAGAGTAACAAACATTCATAAAAAGTTATTAGTAAGATCATTTATTAACGTTATCTTTTATTTAGGGGAAATCAATATCAAATGAGCCGTGTAAAAACATATTTAGTATTATTTCACGATGAGCAGATGCTTTCTCTTCTAGGTCCAACCCTGGCGCTGGTGAAGTAACCTGAGTTGCAACTGATGATTCAGGAGTTAAATTACTCCAATACTTTACCGAAACTTCTCTTGGATTCGGGTCTGGTGTAATACTTTTGTTTGAAGTGTTCGGAGTAGTGCTCGAAAGCCTCGGTTCTGAGGTACTCGAAGTTGAGACTGGAGAAGAACTCCAAAACGGTTCATCGAAGGTACTCGGTGTTGAGGTCGGTGTACTACTCCAAGGATTTCTTGTTGAAGGACTCCAATTTCTCAAAGGCCTAGGTTCTAAGGTACTCGAATCACTCCAATATGGTTGGATAAAACTTTTTGGCCTGGCTGATGTAATATCCCAAAATGATTGGTCAAAACCTTTTTGAGTTGCATCCTCTGTAGACCTCCAATATGGTTCGCCAGAAGGTTTTAAATTTGAAGCTGATGGCATTGTTTGCCAAGAACCGTTTGATGATGCACTTGCAAGTGGGTCCAGCTCAGATGGAGTCGGCGTAGGGGAACTGTCAGAAGCTGTATAAAAAGCAATCGTTATTAAATCACATTTGTTTAAAAAACAATTCCTATTGTTCATAGTAGGTACGGGGGCAACGAGAAGACGGATAACCTGATGGTATACACAGGATGTGATATGCTGCTACCGCCACCCATGGACACTGAGTCAACCAGAGTATTTCGGATTCAACAAACCCCCCCCCCCCCCCCCCCCCCCCCTATTCTATGGGTTCCACACACAGGTGTAACAGGAAAATGAAGCGTTAGGGCGCTAGTTGATTTGGACACTGACAAGCGGGTAATTACAATGTCAAATCAGATACTGACTGCACGGATGGCGCAGTGGTTTAAGCGGTCGCCACGCTGCTTCCTACTGCGCCGAGTGTTGTGGGTTCAAACCCCACATGGGACGACACTTTGTGTGATCTACACAATTTGTAGATCACACTAAGTGTTGTTCTGAGTCTGGGTGTTCTTTGTGTCCGTTTCGTTACGTTTATGTATGTTTGTAAAGTCCCCCGCGACAAAGGATATATTCCTAATGCGGGAGTTGTCTTTTTAAAACAAAAAAAAAAGATACTACACATCACAATGCGATAACTGTAAGACTCGTTAGACTTTTTTCAATATCATTGAACTAAGTACGAAATATACAAAGATTACTTACTTTGCCTTCTTATGCCAATAGTTTTGTAATAATATCCAAAACTATACCCATCCAGAATGGGTGTGCACTTAAAATTCGACAATTTTCCATATCCGTTAATATTTTTCTCAATATATCTCTTAGCTATTTTATGATTTATTGCATCATCATCAACAACAGTTGTTGGTTTCTCAGTTGTTGTGGTAGTCGTTGTTGTTGTTAATGGTATTATATAATGTATCAATGGATCATTCTCGACTGCAATTAATATCTCTAAATTATAAATATCATCCACATCAGTGTATGTGTGTACAAATGAGATTTCTTTATTGAATTCAGAGGTTATTTCTATTACTGAACAGTTTAGATACCAAATTACTGTATATGAATAATCTTTTGTTATGAAATGCATTTCTTCTTCCGATATCTTGATGACATGTTTCACAGGTTCATTGGCAATTACAACGCCATCTGACTTGTCAATGCCATTTTGAATCAACATGAGATTGCCGTTTAATAGATCTGAAATTTAAGAAACCTGTATCATCATCACATAAATAGCCTTTAACAGTCCACTGCTGGACATAGGCCTCTCCTTAGAAAGGAGGTTTTGGCCTACTATACCACGCTGGCCAGACGGGTTGGTATAGGGTTTGTGTCAAGTTTTCCTTCTCTCTGCAGTGCTGTTGTCCTGCGTAGTTCGCTCCCTTAGTCGCCTCTTACGACACCCACGGGGTGGTGACACTCTGTATTCTTAATCCGTCACCACACGGACAATAAGAAACCTGTATAAACAGAGTAATTCAAAATACACAAGATATTGTTTTTATTAAAACTAATATAAATTTACTATTTAAAAAAGTATCATCGTGTTCATTGCACCTATGTATTATGTATAGTATGATAATAAGAACTAGTATAAATAATAAACTCTAATAATTGCCTATGTCCAGCAGTGGACTAGTTAATGCTGTTGGTGATGATGTAATTAACTGTATTCATTATTTCTTAATTTAACCCTTAGGGGTGGTTTTCTAAATCCGTTCACAAATGATGGAGTTCTAAGGAAAGATATAAAATAAAATACCTACGATCGAGTCTGTTTTGAAGTCGGTTAAAAGGATAAACCAACAACAGCAATAAATGGAAATAATAATTATTATAGTACACCAGCTGTAACAACCCTGCCACTGGATTGCATTGATGATAAATGAGGAACAAAACTGATACAAAAAATACATAAACACCATCCTTCAAGCGGTTTGTATATCGTATCCAAATTTGAGTTCAATCGGTACAGAACTTTTGGAGTTTTAGAAGCGTACACAAACCAACTTAATATTTTATCTTATATATAAAATTCTCGTGTCACAATGTTCGTTCCCGTACTCCTCCGAAACGGCTTGACCGATTCTCATGAAATTTTGTGTGCACATCGGGCAGGTCTGAGAATCGGCCAACATCTATTTTTCATACCTCTAAATGACTAGGGTGACCCCTAAATTATTTTTTTCAATATTTCCTAGAAATAATGTGTATGGCAAAACAACGTTTGCCGGGTCAGCTAGTATATATATAGATGAAGCAATCATACCTGTCAAAGCAACGATCGTGGAATTCTTTCCACACTGCCACCAAAATATACCATCATCGTAACTTCTCTGTACTACGACGTCAACGGTATATAATCCTGCTTTGTATTCTTTCTTGCTAAATTCAACAGTAAGGTTTACCATTTTCTCTTTGCTAAAAATCTATAAAAAAATATTTTCGAAGTTCATGATGGTGATGGCGATTTATATCATATAATAAGAATGTTTTAGGTTCCTTCTGGAAACGTAAGTATTAGAAGTGAATTGAACTGCTAATTGGTGAAAAATTACAAAACAAAATGTATATAATATATCAACGTCATTGTTATGTTCAAGTCTTTGCCTTTGTTTTTTTTTTGCATTTGGAACTTTCATAGTAAGTCGCGTCGAATTGTGAAGACACCTGCTTTAAAATCTTACGAATAACAGATATCTTGACTCCCTGAAACCTAGTAAAAACCGTGTAACTCGCCTTTACCACTTCAAAACGTAGCACACACGGACATGCACTTACTGAATTTAGTTATGGTATATGGGGCTTACTAGGTTTTTGGAATGTGACGCGATGCGCCTAAAATAACAATTGGACAATTTATACAGCCTTGACTAAGACAAGGCCTAAGGCCAGGCCAAGGGGAGGCCTATGTCCAGCAGTGGACTATTAAAGGCTGTTGATGATGATGATGATGACTAAGACAATAAATAATTTTAAAACTGTTATATAGACGATAACTATCAGCTATCTAACGAAGGAACACACTCATATGTCTGCGGACGGAATACACGCAAAAACTTAGAAATAAATACGATTTCCAGGATCTCAAAGATCCGGTGATGCAAATCTCAAAGATCCGGAGGTGATGTGTTATGGAAGTTCAGAACAATTATGAATAGCCAAAGAAAAAGATGTCAGCTCGTTAAAATTTCTTTTAAATAATGTGGTGGAAGTGAAATTTATATGCGGATTAACCTACTTTATAAGGCAAGCTCATTATTAGATGATAAATAATAATACCAGCTTTTGCCCTCGGCTCTGCCCGAGTGTATGTCGGTTATCACGGTTAAAAGTAGCCTATGTTACTCGCTGATAATGTAGCTTCCCATTGGTGAAATAATTTTTAAAATCAATTTAGTGGTTTAGGTGTGAAAGCGTGACAAACACACTCACTTTCACATATCTATACTAACATTATAAAGCTGAAGAGTTTGTTTGTTTGTTTGTTTGAACGCGCTAATCTCAGGAACTACTGGTCCGATTTGAAAAATTCTTTCAGTGTTAGATAGCCCATTTATCGAGGAAGGCTATAGGCTATATATCATCACGCTAAGACCAATAGGAGCGGAGCACCAATGAAGAATGTTTCAAAAACGGAGAAAATTTATTACTATTGAGAGACGCAGACGAAGTTGCGCGGGTCAGCTAGTATAATATAAGTATGGATATTCGTTTCTAATGGATGTATTCCATCTGTCTGTATGATACATAACTGCTAAAAACTTTGCATGGAGATAACTTGAACGTTTGGAACTCACATAGTTTGCTTACGTTTCAATAATGGTGGACACGCTATTGAGATGCCACTCGATGGCATCTCAATAGCGTGTCAGGGGTATGAAAGTGGCTTGGCGTGAACATAAAACAGCAGAATTGAGGCCCAGATTGATTTGATTAATTACAACATTTGGGGAGACATGCATTGAGCTGTTTTTTTAAATAAAAAAGTTGTGACAAGCCTACCAATTCTCGAGGAATAAAAGCAACAAAAAAAGAAGAAACTATAAATATAAACTCGTGCCTGTTATGCATAAATCGCGAAAGGCACTCTCGTTGTATCTACCGACAAATGTTTGACTTGAGCGGGAATCGAACCCGAATCGAAATAGCAGTCCGTTACACAAACCACTACGCAATCCGGTCGTTATCTACCTATTAAGATTTGACCTAATAAGGAAGGGGGAGGGGGGGAGGGGGTTATTGGAACGTTAAGAGAAGTTATACAATGATACTAAATGAATGACTAATGGTTGGTTAATTCGACGAATCTTGGCTAAGATGATGTTATCTTAGCCAAGATTCGTCCACTGTTGGACACAGGCGTCCCCAAGTTAATTATTAGTTCTGTTTAATTGAAATTAACACAATAAATGACAAAGAAATCAATATTTGTTATTTTGCCTCTAAATATGCACATACTAGAAATAAGATTGATCAGAATACAAATTCAAAATCCCCATTTCAAAACACAGCAAGTGCTTATAATAGGTTTTGAAACGGGCTAGGACAGAGGCAAAATTGAGTTTGTTCATTTTCAAAGTTAGTAAGGGGGATAAAACGTGAAGTGTACATTATTTTCGAAGTATTTTATACATTTTGTAAACAATGGTTAGTACTCAATCAAATAAATATCACTTTTTTAATTTAACACTAACACTTTTGTAAGGCTAGTCCGTTTTATGTTGTTGTGCTCTCCTGTAAAATTGATTAAAAAGCACTTACTGGGTTTTGCTTTGGTACAGCCGATCTGTACCCGATTTGTTATTAAAACATCATATTTCATCATCATCATCGTCATCAGTATCATCACCGTTACTGAAAATTGCGTGTTCAACTAAAAATTTACCTACTAAATGTATAAATACATGTACTTTTAGCTTTTTAAATGTTTTAAACTTACCTCTCTGCGATGTTCTAGTTTGTCAGAAGGAATATAAAAGATGAATCGTAGGTAGTCGCCACTGTACGTAGAATCAATAGTTGCCGTGAATGTAACATTACTACCGAGCACTGTGGGTCCACTATTTATCAGGAGCACATTCGCCTGTACTCTTTCTGACAAGCCATGAAAGAAAGAAATAGAAATAGTAGTCAAATAATTTATCGAAAACAAAGAAATAAGTGGCAGTAACGTAACGACTAAGGCGCCGGACTAAGACGTATTTGGCCCTGGTCCTGGCCTGAAGGTGAGCCTGCTTGAGATCATTTCAGGAGCAGGGCTTAGATGAGAGCGAGTTGAGATCTCCCTTACACCATGATCCGAGGCGACTTCCTTTATCAACAGCCTTCAGTAGTCCTCTCCTTAGAAAGGAAGTTTTGGCCTATTATACCACGCTGCCCAGTCGTGTCGGTATAGGGTTTGTTTCAAGTTTTCCGTCTCTTTAAGTGCTATTGTCCTGCGTAGTTTGCTCCCTTAGTCAGCTTTTACGACATCCACGGGACGAATTGGGGTGGTGACACTCCGTATTCTTAATCCGTTGCCACACGGAGAATCCCGGACTTTCTACTTAGGGTATATCGAGGTTCTTTGTGAGTGAGGTTCAGGTTCGATTTCAACTTGACCCGTGAGATGCCAATACCCCTAAGATGATAACCCGTGACACTTTCTTCGTAAATTAGTCAGTTAATATTTAAATACACACATTATTACGTCCGTGTGGTGACGGATAAAGAATACAGAGTGTCACCACCCCAATTCGTCCCGTGGATGTCGTAAAAGCTGACTAAGGGAGCAAACTACGCAGGACAATAGCACTGCAGAGAGAAGGAAAACTTGAAACAAACCCTATACTAACCCATCTGGCCAGCGTGGTAAAGTAGGCCAAAACCTCCTTCCTAAGGAGAGGCCTATGTCCAGCAGTGGACTAGTAAAGGCTGTTGATGATGATGATGATGATGATGATTATTACATTGCTTAAACATTCCTTAACGAATACTTTATCCAATACAAAATGTTTTATCTAATCCAACACACAAACAAACAATCAACTAAAAATTCTTTTCTACTCTAATTTATGTTATAGTATTTAAAAAACACTTACGCACGAGAATATAATTGTAGAACGATAAAAGAAATATGAACTTCACAAACATATTGAAACTACGAAAATTTTCTGTTTTATTGGACAATTAATTTGAGCTTGTTCTTTAACGTACGCTATGGAAATATCCTGATTTTTACAGCGAACTGAATCTTTTATATAAAACAGTTATCGCACTCTGAAGGCAGGGCCGGATTAACCATTTTGGGGCCCTTAGGCAATGCTATCCTAAGGGGCCCCTGTTTACCCGTTTAAAGATTATCAGCTCTTTGTAAGTCGATGCAGATTTGTGATTAATTGATTGATTGATTTACTTATAGTCAAAAATTTATTTAGACTTACTTCTAATGCAGATCTTAACGTATAGGTTATAGATAAGTGATGATAAGTGGTGTCATTACGTATAGTATATGAGATGATACTGTCTCACGACCTCATGTTTCTTTTAATTTTAAGTTTATTGTTGTTAAATGCAGTAGGTAATAAATAATGAAAGACAGGAAATAGTTTTGTCAAGTACTTAAATTTTTTTGATGTATCGTTCATAACATCTTGAAAGTTGACCTTTTCCAATATATAAATTCTAATAATAATTTTAATCTTGAAAAGTTACGTTTGATTTCATCAGACTTCTGTATATTTACAATGCTATAATTACTTTCGGGAAAGTTAATTGTACCATACTATCAAAAGTTAATTTAAACGATTCCTCAGAATATATTTTTTCTCTTAACCCGCAATGTCATCGGAATAATGTTCACTAAATTTTATTACAAGCCCGTATCGTTGGTCTTTTTAATTAAATCTGTTAGAAATCCAGAAGAGAAATAATTACCCGATGAGCGTTTAGTCGCCGCGACAGTTTTGGATACAGCATGTACCTACAGGCATATAAGTTTCAACCTTTAATTTATATTTTCCTCTGGTCACAACTTCTGCAGATCCGTCGTCGTGATGCCTTTTTCTTCTTCCCATACGCTGATTTTCAACACTTTATTCGGTAAAAGTTTCTCGTTTGTTTTCATCGCGTAATGGCCAAATAATTCTGAATCTGTGATTCTTCATAGTTACCTGTTAGGATGAAAGCAGCGTATCGTTAAGGAATCCTTTTCCTCATGGTGTCATCCGTCTGCTGGACTACCGCAGGGTGGCGTCTTTTCCAGATTTGCTTTCTTTATGTCATCCTCACCTTTACGCAGATGATCTTCAAATCTATACGCAAGCACCATTATAAGAACAAATTGTCCGAAGAGTACAGAAACTTTAAATTGGCGCTGTGTAAATAGAGCAGCCAGTATGGACTAATTGTTAATCTATCAAAGACTAAAATTATTTTTGTAGGCAGTACTAGGATGCACTCTAAAATCAACTGGTCTGAACTATCTGACTTCAAATTTAATGATGTTGTACTGTTGATTAGCTCTTGTGTTGAGAACTTAGGAATTCTGATTGATAATACTTTATCTAGGGCCCCAATTAAGCGAGGTTAGTCGAAAAGTGATGGTATCAGCGGGCTCCTTATCCTATCAGCGGACTAAAATTGCGGTAGATGAATCCCTGCCCCTTCCTATATATGACACGATCAAATGTGACTATGTGACTGAATTTTGGTAATTGTTCAAGTGGCTCCCAATTCGATTTCAACGGAATACACATATTTTTTTCAAAACTGTATTGTTTTAAAATAAAACAGAACCAATAAAAATAAAACACCATTTTTTTTTATCAATGAATTTGATTTAAAAAATTAAAATTGTAGATGCAAGATCTTCCCCTTTGGGACTTACTATAGGAATAAATGTAAAAAAACGTTCAGCTACTTCTCCATTTTACGTAACGTATATCATCATGAGCACCACAGTCAAATGATGAGTATGAGATACAGGGCCTGGTTTCGAATTGACGCTTGTCGAAAAATATTTACTTTCGCAAATAGTTTTAAAACCTTCCTTCAAAATATTTCAATTAGTTCCACGCAAATGGTCATAGACAAGTATATACGAACGACGAACGCAAACTAAGATATGGATCATACTCCACGACTAATATATTGTGCCATTGTATTGGGATCCAAGTCAGAAAGTTCTAAAGTTTTGCTTTTAATACAATAATAATATTAAAATAATAATAAATCATCTATATTATTAGTTCTACTACTCGATACTAGATGGTTCTGTTGTGAAAAAGTAATCTAATATATAAAATTCTTGTGTCACGGTGTGCGTGATTGAACTCCTCCGAAACGGCTCTACCGATTTTCGTGAAATTTTGTGTGCATATCGGGTAGGTCTGAGAATCGGCCAACATCTATTTTTCATACCCTTAATTTTTTTTTTGTTTTGACATAATTTAAAAAAAAATGGATATGGTAAAACAACGTTAACCGGGTCAGCTAATAGTATATATTCTTCTTGAGATACAAGTTTTTCAATAAAACGTTCACTATATGAAACATTTTCCATATCTTTTGTGGGCGCACTGGGCCCCCAACCGATGGGGGGCCCCAAGTTGCCTACCCTCCTAATGGTTAATAGCAAAGCATACATTGTTAGTATATAATCTCACTAATTATTATTACCTATTGATTATTAAACAACTAACTCACACATCTGTGCGGTTTTGCTGACGTTACTGTAGACTTTTCCTCGTTTTGTAGTAGTGGTTTAAGCGGTCACCACGCCGATTACCGCTACGCTGAGTATTGTGGGTCCGATCCCACATGGGACGACACTTTGTGTGATCCACAAATTGTAGTTTTGAGTCTGGGTGTTCTTTGTGTTCGTTTCATCTATGTTTGTGAAGTCATATATATATGTTATATATATATGACTATATATGTTATATATATATGACTATATATATATATGTCATAGTTATATGTTTTTGCTGACCCGGCAAACTTTGTTTTGTCATATTTTCAAATTTTTTGTCAAAAAAATAAATAATTTAGGGTATGAAAAACAGATGTTGGCCGATTCTCAGACCTACCCGATATGCACACAAAATTTCACGAAAATCGGTCCAGCCGTTTCGGAGGAGTTCAACCACGCACACCGTGACACGAGAATTTTATATATTAGATACTCCTAATGCGGCAGTTGTCTTTTATAAGTGTTAAGCAGTTTTTTCGTTTCTGTAACCGATTAAGTTAGGTGACCGGTGCCTCTAGCTCCTCTCCATCAGATTCTGGGAAAGTGGACTCAAAGGGCGGAATCACATTTGTGTTGCAAATGTCTATGAGTAGCGGTGGCCACTTGCCATCAGGTTACCCGTCTGATTTGCTCTCCTATAAAACAAAGTTAGTCAATTTGTAAAAGTTCACTGCTGGACACAGGCCTCCCCCAAAGCCTTAACAACCGGTCCTGTGCTGTCATATCCAACTGCTTCCTTTTAATTCTTATTAGTACACCTAATAAAAAATTATCAAACAAGGTAAAAATATAATAAATAATTTTAATTGGCATTACTTTTAAAACTATAACTATACCAAAAACCCAATTACCTTCAGTCCGTCCGTACCGTCATATCAGTAGGTTTTTAGTTATTTTTTTTAGTTATTTATTTATTAGGCCACCAACGGCGAGTACACTATTACAATGTATTTAAAAACATATGAATTTTAAAGTTAAGCATCACGCCACTTAAAGGTAGGCACAGCATGGACCAACAAAAGTGCAATAACAATTTACAAAAAATAATGTGAACTTAAAAGTTATTATAAGACTTACAAAAACTTACAAAACAAAGAGAAGCAAAATCAAATTGAAAAATAAACAAATAAACCCCTATAAGCTTACATTCCTTGTATCTAATACAATTCTCTTGATTCGAGGCACGGATGTAAAGTTAATATCTATTATATTGGCAAAAGGTTGAAATGCAGCAAATAATCGGGCCATTGAGTAATGCAATTTAAGGTTCGTGTGGCATTTGGGTCTACAGAAATATTCTCGCCTAGTAGAAGACCTAGCGTTTAATCTAGGAACATTGAGGCCAATCCTGCTGAGCAACTCGGGGCAGTTCATGGTCCCAGTCAGCAACTTGTGCAGAAAAATTATATCCAACATCCTCCTGCGACTCTCGAGAGAAGACAACCCAAAGTACTCAAGTCTTTTTTTATATGATGTTAGTTCTTTGCACATCTTGTAGCTGTAAGATAAGTGTCTTAGAAAACGTTTTTGGATTCTTTCAAGCCGATCAATATGATGCCTATAAGTGGGAGACCAGACAACACTGCAGTATTCCACATGGCTTCTTACTAATGAGTTAAATAACATAATTTTGGTAGAAGCTTTTTTGAAGTGCTTAGACTCACGTATAACAAATCCAAGCATTTTTGAGGACTTTACAAAGACGAAATCCATTTCCTCAATGAAATTTAACTTCCTATCCATGATAATTCCTAGGTCTCGAATATGCGTAACCTCGTTAAGTAAGTGATTATTCAACGAATATTGGGTGTTAATTATATGTTTGTTTCTGGTAAATTTTATATGGACACATTTTTTTACATTTAGAACCATTTTATTTACCATATAAAGGTAATTTATAAGTTCGAGTAATATTTACGAGAACATTTGTATTTTACTATAATTAGTCTGACCATAGATACTGTTACAACTGAACAAGAACGTTTTTAATATGTATGTATTCAGTGCAATAAATAATTAAATAAAATATAACATTATAATACATTTGATAATAACCTTTAAAACAAATACATTATTATATAGTCAAATTCAATTTAAACCCAGTGCAACCAATAAATAAATAATATAATAATTACCTTTATAATAACATCATCATCACATGATCAAGAGCCTATAGTCCATTGCCAATCTGTCACCCTAGCAGAAGCAGGCCGGGGTGGCGGCGAGCGCGTTGCGAAGCGCGCTCGCTTTCAGGGAGCAGAGGGAACATGGCGTTCCCACACGGGGGGGGGGGGGGGTCGTCTACTTGTTGTAGATGGCCCGAGGTATGTCGGGGCACCAGGGACTTCCTTTCTAGGGTATACCTGGTTCCCCGGCTATTAGTATCCGAGACGGCGTGCGTTTTTAGTCAGTTCGAGTCCGACATGCCACCGATAGGTGGTATCCGAAGGGATTTCCACACGGAAAAAAAAAACCCTCTCCTTAGAAAGGAGGTTTTGGCCTACTATACCACGCTGGCCAGACGGGTTGATATAGGATTTGTTTCAAGTTTTCCTTCTTATTGCAGTACATATAACATATAATCAAATATCAACAATTTAGTCAAATTTATTATGAACCTAGTGCTATCAACAAATAAATAATAATTATTTAATAATAAAGATATAACATTTTAGTCAAATTCAATATAAACCTAGTGCAATAAATAATTAATAAATATTTTAATAAAAAATGATGGCTATGTATACAGATTATATATTTAAATAATACAAATATCTATCTATCATCTATGCTGTGCCCGATAGGTTCCATAAGTTTTTACCAACTGTACAATTTTCATTATGGAAGCAATAAACTAAAAACTAGAAATGGTTACCAGCAGTCTGGTTACCATAGAACAGGCTCTACCTAGTTTGATAATAGACGGCCACCGGCAGCCTCCTGAAACTTCACTCACTCAGTGAACGGAGTCAAAAAATGCTCAACTCCAGTTTTCTGTGAGGCTCTGGCCGATTTGTGCCGAAGTATTTTTTGGTCACGGTTAAGTAGACACCATGGAAAGAAAAATGAGTTTCTTAGTGGCGTTGCCTCACCTTTAAAAAGAAGTTTAAATAGATTTTAAAAATAGATAGAGGATGATAAGACTACAAAAACAATTAGGCAACAATTCAAATCAATATTAAAACTATAAAAATACCGGTAGTTCTTAAAGACCACTTAAATTTAATTGTTATGAATGATAGGAGTTATATTAGGTTGCATTGAATTATTCATTTTATTGCACACATAACGGTCAATCATTACAATGTAGCAGCGTCCCGCGGT